GGAGGACTGAAGCCGTTCTCAGTCAATTGGTCTCTGTGTGCTGCTGTCAGAGATGCACTCCTAGGTGACCTGATGCAAAACCTCAAACCTCAGGAATAGTAAACAGCTTCTCGGCTGTCATCTGGGCTTTAGCACTTTGGCCCATTCTGCATCTAGCATTCGCTCCGTTGTTTTACCAAACCCACACTGAACAGAAAAAAGATGCGGCTCAAAGCCACATTCAAAAACCCCGGGCCAAGGCTGTACTGACTGCAGAGTCACCCCTGAACGGCCATAAAATAGCCATAAATCTATGCAGACGGCACCATAAAACCGAGAGATCAAAGGAAGTGAAACCAGCTTGCAGTGTGGAGGCTACCATAAAACCCAACAATCGAATACAGTGAAAGTGGCATGTAATGAACAGGGGAATTTCTGCTCCAATGTGGGTTTAGTAAAACAGCGGAGCGAATGTTAGATGCAGAATGGGCCTTAAACTCTTGCCTGGTAAGTTTTTGGCACAAATTCTGCAGGACTGATAGCCCAAGAATATTATCCCTTTCTTTCCTTCTCAGTGAGCCCCTTCCTCCACCCCTGCCTCAAGTGCTAAGCTCGAAATGCCTTTTTAAAAATAACCACAATGCACATACTCATACTGCGAAGGGTGCTATTTAAAGCTACGCTTTTCTCAGAGCACAATCTATTACGACGCATCTGTCACACAACGCGGCTGAGCTAACGTGACCGCAACAACCTGCCCAAGGACGCCACAAACGGTTGTACTCAGGAATACATCGCCCTGTAAATCAGACTTAATCTTCGAGGATCGGATTCTTGAATGACTCTTGAGCTGAAAGTATTCACCGGGGACAGGTGGTCTGATCAGTGCAGAATGCAAGAATTACTCTTCATCTACGTACAGCAGATTTCAAGGGTTTCTACACAACCTTGTCTGCTTTCCTGTCTCTGGGCACCAGCTGTGGTCTTCAGGCAGCCATCTGCTGGCTGTCTCACCTCTTAGGTGGCCTGTCTGGCATCAACCAGAACCCAGGCCTTCTCCATCATGTATCTGGCCCTGTGGAATCGCCTCCCTGAAGAGGTGAGGGGACTAGGGGAGTCCCCTCCTTGGTGTTGGACACAACCGGTGTCCCTGGCAGTATTTTTCCCAGCCCAATTTGAGAAACACACTCAAAGCAGTCCTGTAGAGTAGAAGACCAAAAAAATAATTTATTAATTAATAAAGGAAGAGTACAGATCTCAAGGTTTTGGAACTCTGAATACCCAACAGACTCTTCGAGTATTACAAAGGGTGACATAGGATCTTATACTCAGGATGATGCACACAAATTGGACAAGATTATTGGTTCCATCAAACATCAGCACTCTGACCTAACAGGTCTCTGATTGGCAGAAAACCTTTTAGGCTGGGCTTTCCCAAGTAAAGTTTTTTCTTTTAGCTGAACAATAAGTGTTTCTTTCTTTTAGACCAGTGGTGGTGAACCTATGGCACGGGTGCCAGAGGTGGCACTCAGAGTCCTCTCTGTGAGCACGCATGCCATCGCCCCAGCCAGGCCCAGACCATCATTAAAGTGTGGAATTCTCTGCCAAATAATTTTAAGTAAATGAAAGCATTTGGGATTGCTTTCCTTACTTTGTTTGGATCATCTTAAGTTAATGTATGAGTTGTTTTTTCTAAAGTAAAACCTCAGTATTCCGGTTAAATTGCCGTGTTGGCACTTTGCGATAAATATAGGGTTGCCAAATCTTCTCCCCCCCGCGGCGGGGGAGCGTCGCCGCGGTCCGGGAGTCGGGCGGATGTGCGCGCGCGAAGCGCGCTCGCGCCGGCAGCACGTCGCGCCGCGGAAGCGGGGGGTTCCCCGCCCCCCGGCCCGATTTGGCAACCCTAGATAAACCCTAGATAAATAAGTGGGTTTTGGGTTGCAGTTTGGGCACTCGGTCTCTAAAAGGTTCGCCATCACTGTCTTAGACTGTAAAATTCTAAAATTATCTATATAGCTGAGATGGTTTACAAGGTGCCATTGTTCTTCGTTTAGCCAGAGACATGCGCAATTCTAGCAATTCCTCAGCAAAAATAGCAAGTTAACATTTTGTTCTTTCAGCATTTTCATAAATGGCAATTAACATATGCACCATGGAAGTGCTAAGTGCACCCACCAAGTCAAACCTGTTAGTCAGTGGCAGAGTATAAAGTGTTTCATAAACTGTGCGTACAACATTGGAGATATTCAGGAGGCACTGCAAGGCCTGCCTGGTTGTCAAGGCTTTTGGCGCGGGGGGGGGGGGAAGAGGTTTTGAATGGCAGGCATTTTTGAGGAGAGAGGGATTCAGGATTTGCTATTTTCTGGTTTTAACTGAAAATGTGTGTGTGTGTTTTTAAACAACCTGTTATCGTACACTGCCTTGAACCACAAGGAAAAGCCT